AATCAGAAACTGGGGTGGCTTCTGTACACCCAGGACTGTCTCTGGAAAATAGAGACACTTGGATTATAGTGGTAAAATTGGGATGAGAACAGATTTAGAGTACCAGCCAACATGCATCACAAAACTCTCACCAAAGGCTAAATATGAATGCCAAGTCCTAGTAAAATGAACATTCAATTCTGCCATCAACATCTAGTATTTCTTTTTATGGGACAGGATAGATCAGATAGCTACAGCATGTGTTTTTTAAAAAGGGAAACTGCTTTTTTTTGGAGGGTGGAGGATAAAATATCCTATATTATGCAGTTTTATGCTTGTTAAGTGACTAGATATCGTAGCCTGGGAGCAAGTTCTACTGAATTTAATGGGGCTCACGACTAAGTAGACATGCATAGGACTGCACTTTTAGTAAAATCGCTTCAAGGGCTGGTTGGTGCGCAATGACTTCCATGTGGGATTTGCTTTAAATTGCTCCTTGTGGCAGCTTGCCTTCACAAGGCCAGCTGTTCATGCACAGATGCTTGCGCAGCTCCTTCATGTGCAGATTACCATGCCTATATTGGGCCGTTTTCTCCATGTCACTGCAAACCAAGTGTCTGTTTCATAGGCGCTGTTCTTCCAGAGGGACCTCGGAAGCAGATTTGCCTGCACACATCTACAGGAACTTCATTACCTGAAACATGCAAGGTATGTAATTTTATCTCCCAAGGGCATCTTTCCAGGATCCAAACAGGGATGAGGCATAAAGAGGAATGCAATGCTCCTATAGTTTTCAAGTGTCTGGTTGAAGGAGCTTCACAAGTGAATTGTTTGATGCATTTTTCAAATCTGAACTCTCGGTGACTTTTCATGAGCCAGCTCAGCTTCCTATGAAGGAGAGCGGGCAAATTGCACTTAAACAAGGATGCTCAGCACGTACCCTGTTCAATAGTTCTTAGCAATGGAGCACAAATGCTATTTTTTTTGGTTTCAGATAAAAAAAAATCTATATTTCTGTTTGGATTAGTAAGATGATGCCCATTCTTCCCTTGAAGCCTGCTAGGGCACAGATACCTGCCCAGTTCTGTTTCTGGGCCATCTGACTTGTTTACACAAGTCTGATTCCTTTTTGCCTTACATATTTGCACACCACCACACTTAGCGTTGATCATATTGTTTAGCAACCACAGCCATTATTATCCATTCCCATATCTAGTTTCCTACTTAATTTGGAACTTTATCCTGCTCAGATAATGTTTTAAAGAATGCAGTTTCAATATCTGTGGGATCTGAAAATAATATTTGCTTTAGATTAGCTTGGGGGAAGGGTTATAGCTCAGTGGTACAGCATCTGTTTCATATACAAAAGGTCTGATTCAGAGGAAGGCACCTTCTAATGTATGTATTGTTATATGTTTGTGGCTGCTAGAATTTAATTAAGGCTTGGGGTGCTAAAACTGGGTGCCAGACCTGTGTGCATTAACCCTAGACTTATGACTAATATCTTTCTATACAATAAAAATGTAAGTGTGTCATCATGCTGCAGTTTGCTTGGTTACAGACACTTGGCAGTGAATGGGTGGCCCAGGCAAGCCACACTGGGATAGGCACAACAGGTTGCAGCAGCCTCCCAGAAACTACTCTGCTCCTCTGGTTCCTTCAGCTGCCAGCCCAGATACCCAAGTGGGCTGGCACAGGTTCGGTGTCTGCTGCTTCTGCCCCACCGGATAAAGAGTTGACCTGACAGAAGGAGCAGCACGGGAAGAAAGAACGAGAGCCCAGGTAGATGGCTTGCTAATAATCTGCTACTGCTGCCCCTACCACTTAGTATGAAGATTCAGCCCAAATATGTCAGTCCTGCCAAACTGACTCTTCATCCTTCTTCACTGTAGCAGCATGAGGTGGAAAGGAAAACACTAAGGCGTTAGTGGGGGTCAGCAAGATCCAGGGGTAGTGGGGTTGGTGGAGTGTGGGGCTTTTGGACAAGAGGGTGAAGGGGGTAGTGGAGAGAGTGGAGTCTAAGGGTGAGGGTTTGTGGGGAGTTGGTGAGGGACTGGGAGGAGTTGGAAGTGGGAGTGAAGAATAAAGTAAGCAGGCAAATAGGTTGGATGGGTGGATTTTGTGGTTACTTCCCACAAAATGCCATGCCACACTTCTCTGTCATTATCTGAGTACAGTGGTACCTCGGGTTAAGTACTTAATTCGTTCTGGAGGTCCGTACTTAACCTGAAACTGTTCTTAACCTGAAGCACCACTTTAGCTAATGGGGCCTCCTGCTGCTGCCGTGCCACCAGAGCACAATTTCTGTTCTCATCCTGAAGCAAAGTTCTTAACCTGAAGCAATATTTCTGGGTTAGCGGAGTCTGTAACCTGAAGCGTATGTAACCTGAAGCATATGTAACCCAAGGTACCACTGCATGAAGCTCCTGCAGCCAACTGGAAGCCGCAGAAGCCCTGCCAGACATTTGGCTTCCAAAAATAGTTTGCAAACCAGAACACAAACTTCCGGGTTTGCGGCATTCGAGAGCCAAAACGTTCGAGAACTAAGCTGTTCGAAAACCAAGGTATGACTGTATTCCTTTGCAGATCTGATAAGAGTTTGTTGGAAATTCCAACTCATTCTAATGAAAGAAAAAGGACAATTGAGCAAACATTATAGCAGACCAAATGAGGAAGTACTGATGTGTCTGGTGGGGTGAGGGATGGCGAAATGTGGACCTGCAATACTAATATATTCACCATATTCTTCAATTTTTGTCAGAGTTCATAGGTTTTATAAGAATTGCATGCAAATATTCTCCAGCAACTTTTGATAGCTATAAAAATAGATATATTGTAGGAATGTTTTCAGTTTGTGACACTTCCAAATATAAAATATAGTAATATAATAGCATAAGTAATATTGTCCTGCTTTCTTATTTTATCTGCAGCTATCCGGGATATGTATGGCACATTTCATAACATATCTCCACTTTTTTTATATATAAATAAGCATCCGGAATAAGAATTGCAATAAGGCACTATGAGTTGTGTGGGGGGGGGGGCTTACTCTATGATCACAGCATTTGATTTCGCAGAAGGTAAATTCTATCCATCATTTTGTCCTTTGCTGTCAGGAAAACAGCTTCAAGTTTAATTCTATAAGGCAGGTAATAATAAAATGGGCACAGAGTCAAAGCAGATCAATTAAATTAACAGCCAAAGAAGAAATATATCAGTTGTGGATTTTTCACATTAAAAAAAATAATCCACGTGGAAGTCATATTAGATATGTGGTACTCTTGGTTTGAAATATATATTTATATTCAGGAAGTATATATTTAAATGCAGGGTAGATGTGGGTGAAATTAAAAGATCAACTCTGCTATTTGTCATTGTGTACCCATTCATGCTGGCTGCACAGGGTGCATTTGTCACAATCAGTCAAGCACTGCTGCTGTGAGCTAGCCATTCATTTGAACAAGACTTGCACAGACTGTCCTGGAAGCTCCATTGACATGTATAGAGGCAGCCAGTATAGAGGAAGCTCCATTGACATGTATAGAGGCAGCCATGCCTGGAGGGCTGCATCATTAGACCAGCAAACAGCCCTGTCCTAGAGTGAGGATGAAGGTATTGTTACACAGCCTAATTTTCTGAGCAGGGAGAAGTTCCAGCAAAAAGCACTGCTCACTCAGGTTTTTGTTCCTGTTGAAGGAGATCACAGGTATTGACATTTTGTGGTGTAACAAATACACAGGTTGAACCTAGGTTAGAGGCACAGCTTAAATGCTCCAACACAGAGACAAATCCCTGCGCCATCTCACTGAGTTTCCAGACAGAGGCCATTAGCACCCCAAAATGTTGATAGCTTGCTGAACCGCAAATTCAGCTCTCTGTGGGCACTTGCAGATGGTTGTTCTTCTGGGATGGGATTGAATCACTTACTGACCAACTCAGGTTGTTGCACGGTTAAGCCACTTATGAACTGGAGAGGAGGTGGAGTTGCAGGCTTCACGCCCCCTCCACGTGCGCAGGGGCTGGCTCTCCCCGGCCATGTCATTCCCTGGCCAGCCAATTGGCATGCCTAGGGGGAGTGGCCTGGGCTATTTAACTCCAGCGCAGCCGGGGATCTCCCTCTTTTGCCGCTGTGGCAGCATTGGGGGCGGGCGGGTCATTGACCACCCCAATATCCAGTTCAACAAGGTGGCCCTCTACCGAGAGGATGGCACGCATCTTTCCGATGTGGGAAATGTTGTCTGGTTGGCTGACATATCTTCTGGGATCAGGGATTAGTTGCAGGTCTGAGGGTATTGGTGGCGAGCTTTTGCTCGAGTGGCGGTTAGGCATTGGTATGGGTATTGTTATGTAGATGAAGGGGGGAGGAAGCGCCATCACCTCCCCCGCATACTGAAGGGTAGTCCGATAAAGGATTCCGGGGGGCGTGGCCCAGTCAGAAGCCTATAGAGGTGAGGGCCTAAGGCATGCCCCCGAGCGATGACCCCGGGGGAGTTCCTAGTTGATGTGCATCAGCAGGACTCCCTCTACTGGTGGTTAACCCTTTCCAGACTTCAAGCAATCAGGCTGAAGCCAGATAGTCAATTAGGACCAATGCCTAAGCCAATACCGCTCATCACCTGTAACCAAGAAAGTTGTTGCCATTTTTTGCCCATTAACCTAAATAATTGTGTCATGTGTTGTTATTTCCACCGGGGGGAGGCAGGAACTCGCCACACAAAGAATCCCGCTCCTCCACAATGAAGAGAAATGCAGTGAAGAAAGTGACAGGAAAATACAGCGGGAAGTGTGGGATAACACTCACTTGACACAGCATGGCATAACTCCAACAGACACAGTTAATGCTCAATAAATAGCTGAGTGTCCAACCTCTCTGCGGGCGTCGTGCAAACGACTCAAGATGGATGCTGAAAAGATGGGTGAACTGAAAGGAAGTGAGCCAAGTCATAGAATCATGGAATTGTAGAGTTGGAAAGGACCACAAGCATCATCCAGTCCAACCCGCTACAATGCAGGATTCTTTTTGCCCAGCGTGGGGCCTGAACCCACGGCCCTAGGATTCAGAGCCCCATGCTCTGCTGACTGAGATATTCTGCAGGCTCTCTGTGCTTTTTCCAGTCTCTCTGTCCCTCTCAGACTATAGCCAGTCCCTTCACAAGACACCACAATTGCAACTCCCTTTAACTAATAGCATGTCCTGTTGCCAAAGTGACTCTCAGTTCCAGAGGGATGCCCAGCTGTTTCCTAGTCATTGTGGGCCATTTACTTGTTATTTCCATGAAAGGGAAATGCTATCCAACATTTCCAGAGCCATTACTGCAGTTCCCAACAATATTGGTTCCAGTGACTCCCCTTTGTCTACCCCTCCCTCATATTATACCTATCGAGTCCTATGATTTGAAGAGACATTTAAGTCTCTCTTCCAGCTGTAAAAATTATTTGAGTCTCTGAATATTTCTCAGTAGACAAAGGATCCTGTTATCCTGAATAGCTAATACTATAAAACAAAGGATGGAATGTGTCCATTAATGGAGCAGAAGCCCTAGTCCTCAGAATTTGTAGCTACGACAATTTTTGGTATCGTTCTTTTCTGTCTTAGTCCCAGAAAACTGTTATTAATGCATACTTAAAATTATGTTTGGTAGAACTTCTGAGGGATTTGCTTGGTTCCATTCTGTTTGCATTTTAAAAGCACACATGAGGCATGCCATTCCTTCAAAACACAATGGTCTGGTTCACACGTCATGCTAAGCCAAACCATGGATTAGCATGAACATGCAAGTGTGGAGGCTCCTGGGGAAGAGATCCCAGTTCCTTCACTTATCACTGGTTGTTTTTCCTGCTGTGCCATATTGAGCTAAGCTATCTTTTAGCTTAATGTGTCTTCCAAATATGGGCTCGTGGTTTAGGTCTCTGGTACAAACTATGAGCTGTAAACCATAGGACAAACCTTGGCTTCAGCTCATGGAGAATGCTACTAGTAGTAAATCAAATAGAATTTTTAGAAATAAAAAAATGTATCCTACTGGGCATGATCACGTGCACAACAACCATTCTGGAGGAAGCCTGAGCATATTTGTGAATATGTTCGTAACAGGGAAATAAGTAACTTTGTATAGTCAAGGACAGTGAAGTGAAAATCCCTGTGCAATGGTTTGGTGGGTCGTGCTAAGCAATGCTCTTTTTCAATATCAGATTGAATACTGGCAGAGAAATATCTTAGTACTTTCCAATTCATCATTTGTTCAGGCAGCTTAAATGTCACAGATATGTGAAGGACTAATAACAATATGTGGGTTTGTGAATGTGTGTGTGTGTTAAAACCCTTACAGAAGATGTTATATATTTCCTGGTTGCTTAATTATTAAATTGCAAGTGGAACTGACGAGTGAAAAAACAACAACTGATTGCTGACCATCTCCTAACGAGAAAAAGAACTTGTTTTTCCCCTCATGTGCTCATACAGTTGCACACACTCACAGTCAAGGTTGATGCGGCATCTGTCTTTCAGGCAAGACCTGAAGCTGTGCCACATCAAGGCTTTGAAAACATGAGGTCAAGCACTTCGTGTCAGGTCACATAGCCAGTGAATTCCAGAGTTTATTTTCAATCTACCCTGGCACTTTGCAGGATCCCTGCTGTTGTTGCTGGAATACAGCACCTCTCCCTTGACTAATTCCTGAGCAATGGATTCTCCCAAATAAAAGCAGGGAATGTATTATGAATCAAACAGAAGGAACTCAGCAAATCTCTCTCTCTCTCTCTCTCTCTCTCTCTCTCTCTCTCTCTGTGTGTGTGTGTGTGTGAGCTGGAATAATAGACTATATATTAATTAAATGAAACATTGCTAGAGTAGTATAATCAGAACCACACCAGTGGGCAGGGCCACAGAGGCGATTGCCCTGAGCACAATATTCTTAGGGATGCAAAATTTCAAAAGAAAAAAAGGAAAGAAAGTAGTAAGAAAAAATAAGAAACAGCACCACCACCCCGCACACTCAGGAAATCTCCCACATGTTCACATGGGCAGAATAGGGAGCCGATTTAGGTGATGGCTAGTTGCTAGGGTGCCCTCTGCACACGCTTTAGAAAGATACCCACTCCCAACAGCCACGTCTGCCACTAGGGCAGGTCGCCGTGCTATTGCCCCTTCATTCCAACCTATCGCTGGCTGGTGCCAAGGTTACTTACCTTGCCCAGGGCGCTGGCCACCCATGCTATGCCACTGAACCACACCCAATGTTGTTTGGCTGTCATGTTCTTAAAACTGTTTTATAACATAACCTGTTTCCTGAACGGCTCAGTAGAACGAGATGCGGGTGGTGCTGTGGTCTAAACCACTGAGCCTCTTGGGTTTGCTGATCAGAAGGTTGGCGGTTCAAATCTGCACAACGGGGTGAGCTCCTGTTGCTCATCCCAGCTCCTGCCTACCTAGCAGCTCGAAAGCACACCAGTGCAAGTAGATAAATAGGTACCACTGTGGTGGGAAGGTAAATGGCATTTCCGTGCACTCTGGTTTCCATCACAGTGTTCCGTTGCATCAGAAGCAGTTTAGTCATGCTGGCCACATGACCCAGAAAGCTGTCTGTGGATGAACGCCGGCTCCCTTGGCCTAAAAGCGAGATGAGCGTTGCAACCCCATAGTCGCCTTTGACTGGACTTACCTTTTATCTAGTAGAACCAGAGTGGAGTGGTGGTTAGAGTGTTGGGGAACCAGGGTTCAAATGCCCACTCAACCATGAAACCCACTGGGTGACTTTGGGCCAGTCACTGTCTTTCAGGCTAACCTACTTCAGAAGGCTGTTGTGAGGATAACACAGAGAGCGGGGTAAAGTGTGTATGCCACCTTGAGCTCTTTAGAGAAAAGGTGGGACATAAATGTAAAAGGTAAAGGTACCCCTGACCGTTAGGTCCAGTCACGGATGACTCTGGGGTTGCACGCTCATCTCGCTCTATAAGCAGAGAATTTGTCTGCAGACAGCTTCTGGGTCATGTGGCCAGCATGACTAAGCCACTTCTGGTGAACCAAAGCAGCGCACGGAAACATTGTTTACCTTCCTGCTGGAGTAGTACCTATTTATCTACTTGCACTTTGAAGTGCTTTCTAACTGGTAGGTGGGCAGGAGCTGGGACCGAACAACAGGAGCTCACCCCGTCGCAGGGATTCGAACCGCCGACCTTCTGATCAGCAAACCCAAGAGGCTCAGTGGTTTAGACCACAGCGCCACCCGCGTCCCAGATGATAGATAGATTTCTACAGACACACATACATAACATAACATAACATAACATAACATAACATAACATAACATAAAACATAACATAACATATGGATTATACTTTATAATGTCAGCACTTGTTATTTTTCAAATTCAGGATACACCTGCTGGTCAAGATATTCAAGAAGTGTTTCCACACTCTCCCTTTGCCCAGTTTTAAACCAAAAAGAGATGAAATGCATAATATAGATTTTTTTAAGGGGAAAATAGGAACCTCTAAAATGGGATGACAAACCTGATCTGGCTGGCATGTCAGATTCTTGTCTCTCCTACCCATCATGGACCAAATCTGACAGGTGAGTGAGGTCACCCACCTGTTAGTCACCTGACACCACAGTGGCATCATCGACACTTCAAAGCACCATGCTGAGTTTGCAAGGAGCCCTGCCTGGTGCTTTGAAGTGCAGATGATCAGCCGGCTCAAAGTCATTGCCGATCAGCTGATGGGCAGTGGCTTCAGGCTGTTTTCTGCAGGGATCAGCTGTGCAATCTCATTCCCCGTGGAATAAATGGAATCCAATAAATTAATATTTCACAAAGCCAGCTCTGGGATTCTGTGTGACCCTGAGATAAAGGCTCTGAAGCATTTAATGGCAATTGTAAAGCAATGGAATTGTGCACAGAATAAACCATTTTAAAATGCAGCTTACTTGTGAAGGCACCTGAAGGCACTATTCTTGTACCTGTTCATATTTCAGAGAAAGCTTAAATTTGAGCTTTTATGGCTCCGGTATTTGCACTGCTTTGTCTGTAGGCAGAATCAGCAGAAATGCAGTGATGCCCCCCCTTTTTTCTTCTTCTTTCCCTGTTGTGAGTGATAAAGTGAATTCCAGCATCATGCGGCACTTGGATTGGACTGAGGAGTTCTCAGAGGCTGAATTTTTCTTGAGAATTCTTGACTGCTGCTGTTTGGCAAAGGTCAGCCTGAAGGAAGAAAGACTGGCTGCTGAGCATATTCTGTGGCTAAGATTCCATTGCCGCCTTTCCAACAATCCTTGCTTGAGAAGTGCAAGGTGGTGCATGAGACTTCCTGAGCTCCTGAGACTTCCTGTGGCAATGGAAAATACAAGGTCTTTTCAGGTATAGAAGCCAAAGTTATTGGGTTTAGTGGTAGCAGGGAGAGTATGCATGTCCTGTTCTGCACTGTTCCTGAACCCTATCTGATAGGCAGCCTGCTATTGGAAAAGACATGGATTTTCAAACTTGAGCTACAAAGTGTGAAAGATCCATGACATCTCTGCTTAGGACAGCCAAGGCTTAATCTTGGAAGTTTCCAGCAGTTCCATCCCATTACGACTTTGCTTATGAGATCTGACAAGGCCACTGCTTGAGGTAGTTTTGCTATATAATCTGAAGAACCATAATTCAGTCTATTCTGAAATCCTATATTTGCTGCGCGATGAAGACTAGCACTGTTTCACGTTTAGCACATGGTCAAAAAAGTCTAGTTCATATAGCACTGATTTAAGTGATCTGGGTTTTTTTGGGTTGTTGTTTTTTTAAGATCAAAAACCTGAGCACAAATGTTGCTTGTCTGAAAGCAATGCTAACTTGAGGCACGAGTAAATCTCATGACATTCACTTCTCCTAGTGTGGTGTAGCATGGCCCGGCACACCAATTACTGCTCTATAACATGCGTCTAGAAGTAGGGAAGAAATTTGGTTCAATTTGCATTTTAATGTGAAACTCGCCAAGTCACACTTCTTGAAGTGATACACACGCCAAAACACTACTATACAGTGGTACCTGAAGTTACAAACGCCTCAGGTTACAAACACTTCAGGGTTACAAACTCCGCTAACCTGGAAGAGTTACCTCGA